AATATATATACATAGGTATATATTATATATGTGTATATAATATATGTATATATATATATTTATAGAAAGTTTAAAAAATTGCGAGGATGGACAACATTTGACGTAAAAAATATAAAAAATTTTAATAAAAAATGTTTTGGTCAGAGACCTTCTTCAGTTATTTACAACTTTTGAAATAAAAAAAGAGCAGTAAATAGGATCGAAGTGCTAATGATTACGTAATTACAGATAACGACTGATGAACTGGTGCTGATAAACAAAAAACCTAATTACAAAGAAAGCAATGGACAAAATACAAGAAACAAACCCTAGAAACTAAGAGATAAGAATACTAAATATGTTAATATGAGTGGCGTAATCAAATGCAAAAGAGCAATGCGGCAAGCAATAAAATGGGAGGTCCACTTTAACCACAAATGTAAACGGTAACAAAACCCCAAAACAAGGCCTTTGGAGCCCGAAAGGGCAAATTAGCAACAAAATCCCTGGAGGGGCCCTTAAATGATACTAATTATAATAAGATCCCTTGGCAGGGCCTCTGAGCCTAATTCAAACCTAAAGGGCTGACAAAATCCAAGAAAAGGGCCTTTGAACAATCAATTAGTAGCGCCTAACATAAAATGGAAAATTAATTGTAGCAAATTCTATTTTTCGAATGAAATTCCTTTCTTTTATTCAAACCATGGGGTGCCAAAGAGAACAACTGAGCACTCCAGTAAGCCTCTTTTGTGATTAAAAGTCTATTGATCTCTTCAGAGCCACTAGGGGCCTGTACCTGATCAATGCATTGGAATGAAAAATCATCCAGGGTGTGTGGGGTTTTGTTCAAGTGTATTGCTACTTAACAAGTTTTGATTGTGAGCATAGCAGATTTGTGATTTCGAAATCTAACTTTAAAGTCAGTAGTAGTAGATCCCACGTATTGCAGGCGACATTTCTTGCAAGAGGCCAAGTAAATCACATTTTTAGAATCACAGGAATGTCTAGAGTGAATGGTGTAATTTTTGCCCGTCCGAAAGCTGAGAAATGATTTAGATTCAACAAAGAAATTCTGACAGAGGTAGCATCTTTTCCTATTGCATTTAAAGCAGCCATTGTTATGAGGAATGGTTTGTCTCTCGCTGACAGTTTTAAAATGAGATGGTGCTAACAATTCTTTGAGATTTTTCAATCGACGAAAAGATGGTATGATAGAACTTCAAGGAAAAAGTTCTTTCAATTTGGGGTTAGATTCCAGAATGAACAAATGCTTTCTGATTATGATTCCTACGTCGGGCAAGTTAAGATTAAATGTTATAACAAATGGAAATAGTTTCATTTCTTTTCCACGAGTCCTGAGTAAATTATTTCTAGGGATGGTGGAGGCCTTGGAGAATTATTTAGAAACTAATTTAGAAGGGTAACCCTGGTTTACAAGGTACTCTTTGTACTCAGCTGTTCTCTCGGCAAAAACATACTTCTTCAGAGCAATTTCTTTTCAATCTTCTGGCTACTCCAAAAGGAATAGCTTTGAAAACATGCTTAGGATGGCAGCTGGAAGGCGGAAGATATAAATGGCTATCTGTAGGTTTGGAATAGACATCTGTCCTGATAAATCCATCAATAAGATATAAAGTAAGATCAAGTACGTGAAGCTCACACTCAGAAAAAAATTAGCTCAAACTTAATAGTAGGATACAGAGAATTGATGTAATCAGTAAACTGATGTGGGGCAGGAAGGCCCTGCTGCCAGAAATCAAATACATGGTTTCGATATCGCCACCATACGGACGGCTTTATCATAAAGTATATATATATATATATATCTATATATCTACTTTATAAAAAACTGTAAATCCTAAATTAAGTTCATGTTATGTATGTTTTTTCCCAGATCTACCCAGACAAGTTTGCAGAACGAGAAATGATGACCTTACAGGTTCTTTGTAAAGCAAATAAAGAAAATGAATGCCTTTGGAAAGGTCCCCTTGGAGATTTAGAGGTATTTCTCATGTGTGTATCAGGGATAGAAGGTTTTAAAAATCTGAGTTTCCTTAGAAGGAAAATCAAAGGGCT